GGGGTCTGGGTAACGAGGACAAATACATGAGGACAGGGGATGGGAACCGGCGGATGGAAATATTTAAGGAGAAAAGGAAAATGGAAAAAAGTGAAAATTTCAAAAAATTAGAATAAAAAAAAAAAAAGAAATGAAATGAAAAAGGAATGAAAAGGATAACTGCGATGGAAAAAAAAGGAAAGTAAAAAAAAGACATATAAAAGTGAAATTGAAAACGAATAAAGGACTGCCAGAGGGTATCTTTATTTTTTATTTCTTTAATTTGTTATTAGCTCCGCCTATTACTGAAACAAAGAATACTAAATGCTTAATTAGGCAGGAGTGCCACAACAGAGGTAAGCAACTTATCTGTAACAATAGGCAAACTAACAAACAAACAAGAATCAAACAGTAAAACGATAGTGGATGGAATCAAAGTAAACCCGTGGGGAACCTCTCCCATAGCTTTGACCTCAGAGGTTTCGCGCCGCTGTATCTCAACCACAAACGAAAAGCACACCAAATATTAACTACCTACTAGCGAGCTGCTACTAGTAGTAAAGAAATGAACTGCTCGCGGAAAGCAACCGAATTTTTTGCGCCACACCACTGATAAAAGGTATAGGTTGCACATTTCAACGCCTTGATAAATTTCCAAGCCCTTCGGGCCTCAGTTTGGTCTGAAAACAAGGGGGGAAGGGGGAGGGGGGGCGGGCCCCTTCCCGGGATCCGCCACTGAAGAACTATAATTCCTAATTATGAGCATTTAATTGCAGGATATAGCAGGAGTTAACACTTCTTAGACGTAGACATTTACTAACAAATTAAATAACGTTTCAGCGAAAAAAAGTATGAATCAACAACAGTATTATAAACAACAGCACTCAATTTAATTTTCGAGTTGACCATGATACTCGACACGTACAGAAATTTCAATCGAGAATAGGCCTTACCATCTTAGAATTTTTCCATCCTAGGCATGATTAACTGGTTTTTCAACGTAAAACGCCTTTGAAGGCGACTTTTTGGAACAGACTGTAATCCATATTTCGACTCCTCTCCGCGAGGCTACGGGAGCCCTGCCAGAGACTGCGCATTTTGGGGGTATTGCTTATGATCGAGATACTTCGATGTAGCACACATACACGACCTAAAGTCAACGCAAAGTGAGCGAGTGACACATTTGCATATAGAAACCCATCACACCAAGGGTTAAAGAACTTGACGATACATCGAACGGAATGGAATAACCGAGTGCAATTCATCAAATGTTAGAATTTTCACGACACACCATAGTTAAAGACCTGTATAGTTAAAACCCAGGTTATTTCTCTACTCCCTTTAAAGACTGTTGGGGGGGGGGGGGAAGGAGGGGGGGAAGCCCCGGGACGAGCCCTCCTCTCAACCTCGCACTTTCCAAGCCTTTTTTCTTTAGTTAATATTAAAAAAAATTCATTTTTTTTTCACTTCTTTTTTTAAAGTAATAAAAATATTTACTACTTTTTAAATACAATGCGAATAATACAACAACACACAACATGTTTGAAGAAAATAAGAAAACATGAAGACGAAAAAAATAACGCGAAGTAATCGTTCATAAGGTCAGTCTTGACAAGCACACCGAGGTCAAGTACCTGTATGGTTGAAACCGGGGGTTTTGTGGTCCTGCCTTTGAGGGCCGGTGGGGGGGGGGGGGAAGGAGGGGGGGAAGCTCCTGGACGAGCCCTCCTCTCAACCTCGCACTTTCCAATGCTTTTTTCTTTAGTTAAATATATACATACATAACTTTTATTTCACCTCGTATTTTAGAGTCACTACAATATTTAATATCTTCGAGAAAAGTATATATACACATTTAAGATCTCTAAAACTGCATGGTAACTATAGTACACTTGTACAATATAATTGTTTCGTTTTTTTTTAATAAAACGGAGATATATCTAAACTATATCTATTCTTCATATTAAAGTTAGTAACCATCGGAAGCCTTTTTCGGCTTTTTTTTTAAATATCTAACTCGCCGAGAGAAGATTGTGAAAGAAAAGCTGAATCTGCTCAGGCTAGTAAAATGTAAAGGTTTGTAAAAATGGACCTTAAACTCCCAGAAGTTTGGAGGGCCAAATTTAAAAGGTATGTACAAATATTGACAATTTTGAGCTCTAATATTTCCACGAAGTTTGCAACGGATTTTTTGTTCTTGAAACTCCGCAGTTTAACTAAATTTAAAGTACGATAAAGAAATTTATGGATTCAAGACGTGCTTTTGTTACATCCTAGGAGACGCAGGGGTAGCGAGAGAAGACGAAGGCATTTTCGTGGGCGAAAGTTTACAATCAACAAAAACAGGGCTTTCACCAAGTCTGCAACAACCAAAGTAAAAAAACAAAGACTCCTGAGGGGGTCCACTGTTAAAACAGACAGGGATGCTCGTCCAAAATTAAAATGTAAGCCCTAAAAGAAACCAACCTAACCGAAAAGACGAGCATCCCCGTCAGTTTCATTAGGGAGCCCCCGGGGGGACTGGACGGACATTCACATGCGTCCTCTTGCGCAAGGTATTGATACATTAAAAAGGATGTCTAAATTCTCTTTCGCAAAATGTTTCTTTTTCAACGTTGCCAAACACTGATTATCTAACACAGGAGTTTCAAATCACAAAATACCCCAGTCGTACACATTGATGTTACTTTCTGACCCTTTATAACATACGATGTACCTCAATGCATTTTGACCCAAATGTTCCGAGCGGGTTTCTATTAAACCCGACACACGCATGCAAGCAGTTCCATGTCAGTCGCAGCAAATTTCTTCCGCCAAACGTTTTTCTTTGACCAATTTATGATCCAGTGCGTCATATAAAACTTGGTAAGTTGCATCTTTCCCATCTCTACTTTTCCAACGCAACAGCATTTGGTACGCCTTCTCACTGTATTCATCCGGATTCTCTTTGTGAAATGCAATTAGCTCTGCTTCTGTAAACTTTAATCGCCGTCCAAGCGGTTTCCACGACTTACCAATTTGCTGTGAGAGTTCCTCCAGATCCTCGTCACATGGAGTGTCTTTCTTCACTGAAAGAATTAGACGATTACTATGTTTTAATAGACAGTTTCCGCATCGCTATGAACTGAATGGCACCAACTCAAGGCTTGAGTTGATAAAATACAGGTGATTTGTATGAAATTGTCTGCCCAAGTCTTGACCTCGTTTTAATTTCTATTTATAGGGGGAGCATGATCTTCGGGGTGAGTATAGTCCTGACTCAGGACTGTCGTTGAGAGTGAATGACGTTTCGACAACCTGTGCGGTAGTCACCTTCAGAGTCAATGTAGGGTTGTATCACGTATTAAACTCTGGTTATTGACCTGATTAGTCAATTAAGTCGCGATGTTATTGGTCGTCTTT